CTGTTTGCATTTGTGCTATTCATCATTGAGGTCTACAATTGCAAAGGGATTTATAATATATTTTCAAGAATTGTTTTTCAATAACCATGCATATGTGTGTATGAGACAGTGGTTAGCATTGTTGCTTGCAGTGCTGAAGCCCTGGGTTAAATTCTGGACCTGGGCAGCTATCTGCTTAGAGTCTGTATGTTCTTCCTGAGTTCATGATGGTGTTTTGGTTTCCTCTCACAGTCCAAAATAATGCTGGTAAGTTAATTGGCTTCTGGGAAAACTGACACAGGTGTCTTGTGACCCTTGGTATCCCATCCAGTGTGTACCCTGCCTTTTGTCTGTTGTTTGCAAGTACATGCTAAGGTTCCCCTGTGACTTCATCCAGCTCAGGCTAGATGAAAATGGATGGATGTGTGTCTATATGTTTTTACTTTTTTAAGGTAACTGTATTTCCTGGTAACCTGATATCACTGTAGTAAGTCTACTTTTAAAATATTTTCAGTTTATAAAGGTAACATTATACTAGTGCGATGGTTCATATAGGGTATAATTAGCTGTCTTACCTTACAATGTCTTACAATGGGGGGGGGGGTACCATCGATGGTGTCAACCCATGGCAACCCTATGGATAGTTCCCCTGTCACTATCCATAGAGTTTTCATGGCAAGATACGGGGGTAGATGGCCAGGCCTTTTTTTCCACGCAGGTAGTGCGAGTGTTCTTTCCGTTGTCATGGAGACGTGATCCTCCACCACCAACACTGCCCTGTACAGCTGCTGCCCAGTATGGGTTATTAGAAAACCTTGCGCCCGACTTGGGACACTACCCTCAGATTATGAGTCTCGTGCTGTACCAACAGAGCTAGTCAGGGCTTTTGGAACGGGAATGTCCTGAAAATATTTTCCTTTTTTGGCTTTTGTCTTATATGTTGTATGTTACTTATTTATCACAGTATAACACAACAAGCTTTATTGGCACAATATTACACAGTATTGCAAAGTATTTGTGCAAAATAACACAGTATTAGATAATACAATATGTGCAATTGTAACACAGCATTGTGCAATACAGTTGTACGCATGGTTTATATTTATTTATTCTTTTATCTTCCTCCAGAAAGTGTACAGGGATGGTACCTTGAGATACTTTTTCAAAAACGATCACAAGATTAAAAGATTCTGAACTGTGCTGCAGACACAGTGCCCGACAGCCCGCAACAAACAACAGAAATTATTGATTTATTTCCCCTTTCTTCCAGCACAAAAGTACAAAGTTAAACCAATGGTAAACTTTGGAACTGAGATAAGAACATACAGTACTGAGAATGTAAATTGCAGGTGGCTCTGTAGTATGTGCAGAACAGCCAGTATTAAAAGAACATTGTCCCACTTGAACATTTTTGAAACCAGTGTTTCAAAAGGGAATACTGTAAGTGTCATGACATCCTTTTTCCAGTTTTTCTGGAATCACCTACTGGGATAAAAAAAAGTGGTTATGAAAAGGTAAAACTATATTCCTGCTCAGCAAGAAATAATACAGGTCTCTTTCTGTGACGTTTTTGTAACACAAGACTTAGTTGTATTGGTTTTCCACTATGTTGGACAGACTGGCCTTAGACATTATGATGTCAGCCTCTGTATCACAGATTAAAAATTTCCAGTCCTTGGGGACATTTTTGTTCTTTATAACCATCTCAATTCACAATGAAACAAATTATTTGCTTAGTTAAACTAATGACATGCCTTCTCCACACCTTCAGACCAGTAACACCTGCTGATCTGATGACTTCCAGAGCGCGAATCATGCTCTTCTGAGGAAATGATGCCCATCAGACATTAATCAAATATAGTCAAATTTCTGCGCTTTCAGTGCTCCTCAGTAAATATTGCCCATGTGGCTGTTGGATTGAGAGAGGACCCGCAGAGATGTCTTGTGGTGGCTGGGGTGTGAGGTCTCACCATTTGCATTTTCCCTTGTGCTCAAAGTCTTCAGGTTCAAGGGCCGGGACAGTCAAGAGCAGCACTTAAGCCTCTCCAATGGGAAAACACTCCACTGAAGCACAGAGGCATGCTGTTTCACTGGACAGATTTGTCAAGGTCTTAAATATTTGGCCATTAAAGTTCCCCTGGCATGGTGAAGTCATTTCTCACATCTCCTCCTGACTTGCTACGTAAGGGCTGGGTTACCCAGGTGGGTTGCACTCCAGTGGGAGATGACCCGAGTTCCCTCGTATGATGACATGGGCTCCTTTGGGGTGACATACTGTATACTGTACAGGTGTATGTAATTATGTGCATCATCATAGTTACATATTATAGATTATAAAGGTGAAACTTGCAGGGAGGCGCTAATGTTGTTACACTTTGCTGAAGAAAACCCTTATTCACATCCAAAGAACAACGATATGGAAAGTTGACGTAGCAACTACTGTATGTCTAATCCTCATCTCACAAACCCGTATCCAATGTACTGAACTGACTGTAACTGACTGCGTGGAATGAGCTGAGAGGGAGAGACGGGCGAGCTCTGGCTAAGGAATGAAGCCGCGCTGGCAGTACTGTCTTCCCACAGTAGGTGTCCATTCGCCTGGATTCAAAGGCAGGGGAAGTACGACGAGCCTGTGCTGCTCACAGCTGCGTGAAAAGAGGCAGGCTTTTTCTTAGAAACCGTGGGTGGCCGTTATTTTTTTGGAAGCTGAATGTACTGTTCCCGGCAAAAACAAAGCACAAACTCCGTCCGACAAATGGGAAGCTGTGTGTGTAACCGTTCGACCCCGCTGATGCCCTCACTCCCTCGGCAGAAGCGAAACGGAAAAGCGTGACTCTCTTACTCAAGGATATCCACTTGTTTGGTGCAACGCTAGATAATGAATGATTTATTGAAGCATGAAATCACGTTATTATTGATTGGGCTAGATGGAGAGGACTCTGATTAAGACAGAGGCTTACTCTCCATACTGTATGTTCTAGCCCAACTATTGTGGTCGACAAACAGTAGGGGTGGCTGCTGACAACACATTCTCTCACGGTGCTCCACGGCAACCGTGTGTGTGAAGGTACAGTTTAGTACTGTACATAAGGGTTTTGCTTCATTTCTTACAAACGTACATGAGAACCATCTCAACGAATATGACGTTGCAAGGTTTAAAGAGTGTATTCATAAGGAGAATCGTTTTCGCCTCAGACGGTGCAAATAAAAGCAAACAGCTTTTTGAAAAGCTATCATAACAAAGCTCTGTCAGCTTGGTCTTGAGTGTTGCCGTTTATGGCTTCAACTTGAGCAACTAGACTCGAGGAGAGGAACCCCGAATCATTCAGTTTAAAAGCTGCACTTTGTGAGCCACAAAGCGGGCGGGAAAGAGGGATAAATGGGCGGAAAATTAATCGGGGTGTGCCTCTGCCTTTGAGCAAAAACTGCCCTTTCAGACAAAATCTGGCAATTTGACCCGTTTCTCCCATTCCGTACATAAGACCCACGAAGGGGGGGGAGGAGACATCAATTGCGAGACACCAGCACACGGCGTGAGATTTGTATTTTGTTGTGAATCCGCCTTATTCTGCAATCCCTCCTCGTTATCAAGGTCCATGATGAACCTGTGAATTTGAAGGTGTTAATCGCGAAGGTAAACCGCTGTAACGTTAGAACTTAACGTCTTGCCAGAAGGCCGTAAGCGTACAATACCAAAGCGCTAAAAAGGTGGCGTCAAAAAGTGGTAAACTGTGTGATATTGGTTAAATGTGGGAAAAAATCGCTGTTGTAATGCTTTCACGAACTGATAGCAGCGCAATCCATCGTCTGCCACGATCTGATTATTACCATCAAATAACAAGACACCGGTGCGCTGCTCAGGTCGTCCTTGTCTGAAATCGCTGCAGGTGACGTGGCTGCAGTTCTTTTACAACAGTGGACCCCCGATATCACCTTTCACTGGAAACTCAGAGCCTCTGACAAGAACACTGACCCAGCACAGGAAACACATGTCCGTACAGCTAACAATACGCTCCAAACTAACGCAGCCGTTAGGATCATATCGCAGCTTTATTTTAAATGAAAAACAAATAAGGTAATTTCATCATTTAAAATTGCCAAGAATTTCATTTTCTTGGCAAACACACACTCGTGTTCAGAATTCAAAGCCACTAGATTTCTTACTTATTTGGAGGCGAAATAATACCAAGAATTATGAATTTTGTCCGGTTGCACAATGGAGAGTAGATGCGGCATTTTAAAATACAAATTTAAACCCTTTTTTATTCGTTCATTGGAGTCGACAGAGATAGGATCATTGTAAACCCCGGTACGCTTATCGTTTCTGATTGTAGGACACGGATGGCGGTTTGAAATGAATATACTGTATTATTATTAATATTAGATTATGAGTCCGGCTCCAAACCCCACATTTGCACTGTTAGTTTCTACAATTCAATGATTGCCTTGAATTGAAGTTACCTTGGATAAAGGGCGTCATTAACAATTATTAGTCCCATTAAGTGACTGAAACGCACCGGTTAGTTTTAAAGACCCGGTGAACCAAAAATGTTCTAAAAAGAGGCCTGCTTCACTGTAGTCGCTCAAAATGCTGGAATAGAGCGCCTTCGTAATCTTAAATTAACACATAGGTTTTGACACAACACGTATCAATCAACATCTTTAATCAAACTTATTTTTCTCTTACAAAATGTAACTTGTTAGCGCAACTGCATTGCCAACCACAGCTCCGGTTGTTGGACAAACGCATTTAGGAAGTCGGGTTTGATCCCACGCAGTTAACGCACATACCTAAATAGTTTAAAGCAGTTACGTTAGTGTCATGGAACCGATCTCGCACAATGATATTTTTAAGGAAATCAATGAAAGGGATTGAGGACACGAGCCCTCTGCAGCGTATGCGGAAGTCTTTCAATGTACGTTTCAGTCTAAAATCTGTCATGCAACGTTTAAACGGATAAACGTGCTTTTTAGAAATCTGCCGAGACACGCTTCGCACAGAAGACGGTTACACGTTGTTACATACTGGATACTGCTGTAACCTGTGAGAAATCATTTTCCCCCTTCCCTCTGAAAATCGCCCTCCGCAACTCTGCGATCCCACCGCCCAGAAGGCAGTCTTTCAACGCGGGAGGCGGCTCTGTTTTGCGACTCCTTTGAAGTCCAGCCGGCCCAGCTGTGTTTTCATTAGCTGCTAAAGAAATCCGTCAGCCGGCTGGCCAGCCTACCGGGGCTGACAGCCGCGTACGTTTCGCTCATTTTTTTTTTCTCCTCCAGCGCGGATGAGAGAGAAAACAGAGGGAGAGGATTTGGAAACGCTGTATTTTGATAGGATTGCGATAAGGCGATGACTGATTCCGTGCGCTCGCGATTCTGAAGCTCCACAGCTAGCGGGGTCTGTAGGGAAGCGGTGCAGGACCGGAGTTTATCCGTTTTGTTTTCAGAGAGGAAACCCCGAATCGTTATTCCCGTGGCAGGCTCTTGCCAACTTGGATACTCGAATCCACGAATTTGTAACTGCCTGTTTCACTTCTGGGTTATCATAATAGGCGATTTTGAAGAGAAGAAATCCGGAGAAGTTGTCTTCTTACACCGCTGGATCACAGACAAGACACGGAGCAGGAGGCTGAAGAGACGCTTAATGCTGGTTTCAAAGCCATGCCGGGGCTCTTTTTAACTGACACCATTTACACTTCAACGTATTCAGCTATAAATTGTAATTAGATGAAATAAAGTTAATGCAGTTAATGTGTTTGCTGAGTGATCAAATCCTACCAAAGTCCTAACTCGTTTTCAACTGATGGTGAGGTCTGACGGAGAACTTACCACGCTGAACTCGGACTGGGACTGCTTTTCACAGCGAGCCCGGTCAAACTGCTGTCTATATAGTACGCCGCTTTAAAGCCAGCTGAATCACTTATATTATCTTTGGGAAAGATCCGCTACTTTGCATATTCATTTTTAACGGTGGAAGGGTAGCCCATCTTTGTGGAGGTTAATTTTCTGTTGCCTCGTTATGCTTTTTTTCTCCATTGACAGTAAAGCAAGGCATCTGTAACACAACCTATTGAAACACGAGGGAACAACTTTCCAGTTTCCGAGTTGTGTTAAAATTACCTTTTTTTCCCCCCAACCGTATCAGTGTCTGCATGCCCAGTGTTAACTTTTTGTTGCACGCAATAAATAAGGAGCAATAACAGGGAAGACAGCAAGGGATTGTATTTTGAAATTACTGTATATTAACTGCCTACAAAAAAAAATGGTTTTTCGGAAGTTACCCGGCGTTTCGGCATCTGGTATGGGGCTTCGCTTATCTCAGAAATTTGTGTTTTTACTTTTCTTATCGGGTTTGGTAACTCTCTGCTTCGGGGCCCTGTTCTTTTTACCTGACTCTGTTCGCTTAAAACGCATTTTTTTACCCAAGAGGGAAAATGCACCGTTGGCCGTGGAACTGGAGAACGGGGCAGGGGAGCACGGTCTAAAGCCCGACAAGGACTACGAACACTTGCCAGGAATCACCCCAGGAAAGGGGGATACGAGCACAAAAATGAAAGCCACCAGCCGCAAATCCTCCGCTACCAGGGAGGCAAAAAATGCGGAGAAAACCGCAGTTAAAACCCAGGAGAACTGGAACCAGTCGCGATCGAAAGGCGCCCCAGTCAAGTATCGGCTCCCGGAGAACAAAGTGGAGCAGCGAGAGCAGGGGAAGGGGACAGTCTTTTCCAAAGACAGTGAACACGGATCCTCCTTTGATTACGAGAAGTTTAAAAAATGTCTGCTGAGACCTCCTTTGGGGGTCGATGGAGGCAAGCCGAGCGACGTCCAGACACAGAAACGGAGGGAGAAAGTGAAAGAGGTAACGTAGAAACATTTTGCTTGAATCCTAAGGGTTTAATAGGCGAACCACAGTGATTTAAACCCGCTGTCGCTGTCGGTTGTGTGATGTCTCGGTTTGACATATACTGTAGCAACTACAGGCTAAACAAGCTACTAAATACTTTTGTTTTCTAAATATATAATATGATGTGTTACATTGCTAGGCTTTATTGCACATCTTAAAGAGTACCGACATCTCGACAAGAAGTACCGAAGTAAACCAAAATATCGAAATCTGTCTGTCCTACAGTATATGCGCGACAGCCTTTATTGAATTTCTACAATGACACGTTTAGTGGATGTGGAGTTATCCAGATATTTTGGAATCGTTCTGACTTGCAGATTTAGAAGGGAATCCTCATCATCTGCTTTAACGCAGACCTGGTATCCGCCTGGCCGATACGTAGTAGCAATTCTGTCAGGATATCGCTTTGCAATATGAACGGAATACAACTCATTAGGATTCTAATCCTACTGGCGAGCGGGAGGTGTCGTTCAAAGTCCGCTATGTACAGGTTCTGTCAAGGCAGGGGCTGCTATTTGGATATACAGTAATGTAATTTGTACACCACTAAAATGTGTGTTACTGTATATACCTGCTTAGTCATTTCCTCAGTGAGAAACACCTTTAAACAAAAACCCTTAGAAATTACAACTTTGTCAGTTCCAGGTGATCACATCACCTTGGCAACACTGTGCTTTTTTTCCTCCAAGATAAAAGATGTCCTTAGAAGAAACTGAACTGATTCTGTTCAAAGTTATCAGGGTGATCTTCCTTGCTGAATGCATTTCATTTATGATGCAGCAGTACAAAAGGGAAAATAAATGTGCCAGGCCATAAAAGTGCCAGGGTACAACCGATTAGGCAGTTTTGTATTTCGCTCAGAACTCGAGGATGCCTTCACGATCCTGACAAGGTGAGCTCAGGAAGATAGAAACTTCCTCTTGGAGCTGAAGGGCAAAAGCTGGCTTGATCTTGATTTTTAGTATGAAAACAGATAGTTAAAACACGAAAGCGGGGCTCTTAGCTTTTGGGGGTTTTAAGCAGGAGACATCAGAAAAGTTTCCACAGGCGTAACTGGCTTGTGGCAGCCAAGTGTTTATTGTGACATCTTTTTGAGATCCTTCGATCAAGGCTCTCCCTATTACTGTGAAGTAGGATTCACCAAGCTATGGATTATTCACCTGCTAACGGGGAATGTGGACTGGGTTCAGACCGTCATGAGAGGTTAGTTGATGTGCTGATGTACTTTTGCAGTAGTAATCCTGCTCGGTACGAGAGGCACCAGATTCAGGCATGCTGTCTGTGCCTGGCTGTGGAGACAGCGATGTGAAGCTGCCATCTCCGCAGGTATGACTGAATTCCTCTCAGTCAGAATCGCCCCTAAAGGAGGAGCAGTCACCCCCCTTTCCTGTACCTTTCCCGTTCTTGCTAAGAAAGTGGTGTGGATGAAATTATACTCCGTCACCCCTGCTTTCCAGGTGAAGAAGGGTCTGTCAGGGGGACACGGAAGGGAGTCTTTGGACTGCCGTCTTTTTCGGGGGACCCTTTTGAAGGCAGAGTGTTTGGGACTGGGGAGGACAGTAAAGGCTGCTTGGGCTAAAGATCAAACACAAGGTGTGCTCATCGCAGGCCGCAAGTCTGTGGCGTGTGGAGGTTGAAGTCCAGGTGGAGGAATGCTGTGAGCCTCAAGTGGGTCTCTTCACCCATGGGGAGTGGCGTGGTTCTCTCTCCTGGGATGGCTCGTTGGGCCTCAGTTTTGTGGTATAACCCAGGCCTGGGAAGCTCAATTACATCTTTCTGTCCATAGCTCTGCTTGCCCAGTGCCTTCTGCCTGTGCGGACAGAGCCTGTGTTCTTCCAGTAGGCCAAAGGTGTAGGGTGTCACCTTTTATTTCTCTTTTTATATTTTCCATATGTACTGTACCATTTTGGACTTGGGAGATCCAGGTTCCCACTCCAGGTCTGTATGCTGCTGTCAGGTCAGTCGTGGAAGGTACCAGTGCACCCCAACCTCTTGACATAGGAGGGGAGTGCTCCTTGGTACCCTCATCTGGCATTCTTGAGCCCTGGGGTTAGGCCAGATCCTGGGATGTTTTTTCCATGAATCTAATTAATCGGAGAGCACTCCATAATAAAGCATGTTTCTTTTGAGAAAAATCAGTTTGTGATCCTTGTGAGAACTTTTTATTGCAATGATATTGTGACCGCTGTGCCCACAGTGAGTGTTCCGATTAGCCACTTTCTGCAACAGTACCTTCACCAAACGTGACTTAAGTTTTGTTCTGAAATGAGCCAGAGTGAATCACTAGTTATTCTAAGGTTTCATGAGTTGTTCTCGTGTGTGCCTTTCTTTCGGTACTTTAACAGACTAACTGCAGCACTTGCAGTAGTTTTCCTTGCAGTGTAAATTTATGCCCTCTTTCCTCTATCTGCAAACACAAACTTGCTGCTTTTTTACATGGGGAAAAAAATCCCTGCAGATTACCACTTGTTTGTGGTGTTTCCACTTGAAGGTTGAGCAGTTGCTCAGAAAATCAAAAAGAAAAAGGTTTTTCTCTAGGCAGCATACTTTAAAAAATTAAAAACGTTTTTTTTTATACTCTTTTCTTACTTCTTATTTTTCTGTAGTGACTGAGTTAAAAACAAACTCATATGTGGCAAAGTTTGGGTCCTAGCCAAGCCTATGGTCTATTTCGGGGATAATGTATAGGCAGGATTATATCTAGGGATGACAGTTCACCAGCTGTGGTTGTGTAGAGTTAGAACTGTAAAATTGCTACTTAGATGTTCTTTATGTCTGTGCCCTGCGATGGATTAGTGTCCCAGCCAGGGTGTATCCTGCCTTGTGCCCATTTCTTGCAGGAATATTCTCTGGCTCCCCTGCAACACTGTATTGGAAATAGAGGTGATGGAGGAATGGATGTTCTTCTGTATAAATGAAATAGTAATACTTTAACCTTGTTGCATGCTGAAAATTAGATTGGGCCGGTCTCTTTCCACTACGACACATGATGTATCAATTGAGTGTTCCATCGTTGTACAAAAAAGAAAAGAAATGCCAATTATTAAGTACAAACAAGAGAGGGTCCCCGTTCTGCACTTGCAGGTAGCATCTCAGTTCCTTCTGAAATGGTGTGGAAAGCTGAGAGGGCTCTCCTTGGAAAACATGCTCTCGTAAGGCGATGGAAATCATGAAAACGGAGAAACCGCATGTTGAGGGCTACACTGAACAAGGCTGCGACTCTGATTCCCAGTACAAATCTTTCCAGCTTCTGCGGCATGAATGAAGATTTTGTTTCAAGCCTTAGAGTGAGTCACCGTTCAGCTTTGAGGGTCTGTCTCTTTGCTAATGATGTATGGCGGTTCCCCCAAGGGACTGGATTTTAAGAGGTAGCTTCCCTTGAAGAAAAAAAGTCGCTGGTGAAGGTTTCCTGCTTTATTAATCCAAGGGCATGACTCATTAATTTATTGCCTAGTTATAGTGAAGCCATGCTGGGATCAGGTCTATGATGGCGTCACCACAAGGAGATGAGAAATTTTAAAGTGGAAGTACTGCCCTGTATTTTGTAGGAGTAAGGTGGCAGGGGGATAGTTGGAACCGAGTTCTTTTTTTAAAAAGAGAACAGGCGGAAGAATCTGTAAATCGGGAGTGGTATATTCTGCTGGGCTTGTTGCTAAGCAAACAAGAATGTTGACTGTGAGCTGTGATGTTACGGGGGCAGCAAGTGAGTTGTGCATAATTGAGACGTGATACGTGTTGTCTTTTCTTTCTTCTGTTCGGTGGAGCACGAGGTGAAAACCTCACCTGCTGGCATCGGCCTTGCAAACATCACCAGGTATTGTTTCTGGAGGCTTTGTTTTCAGCGAAACGCCGCCAGTTGCCTCTTAAAAACATCAAGGGCACCTCCTCAGATACACAGGGTAGTAGGAAGTCATAATAGGGCTCAATGTAAATGGTGCCAGAGAGCGATAAAGAAGCATAACTAGAAAATGAAGATTTTCTTAACAAGCAGTGTTCCACCTGGGATTGTTACCTACAGAACGCGCCTGCTTGTAAGGCTTGGACTAAACCAAAACATGATCAACCTGCAAAGTGCCTGTTCCTTTTATACCTGGTTTCCAGGGGGCAGACGTCCTGTGTTTGTAATTAGTTTTCGACAGATGGGCTTGAGTTCAGATTTAATCGGGGTTCGAGTTTTGATTTTGCCGGACCTTCATCTTGTGCTTTGACGGGCGCAGCAGGCTGAGAATCGAACAGTGGGTTGTCGGGGAGGGGCAGATTTTGGGGGAAACCTACAGTTGAATAGGCTGAGCCCAAGCCCAAGGCAGCTGTTTTTCTCGCTCTGCCCAGATGGACAGTTATCTTGAAGACGGGGCTTGAACGAAGTAGCATTTGTTTCAGGTCGTGTAAAACGCACTCATTTCAACACGCCTGTGCTTCCTCTCAAGCCCCCTGTTCTCTGTTCCTCTACTGGGGGAATCGGTTTTGCTGTGATGTTTTTAATCATTCAAATTTTAATCATTCTAATGTAAAACTGTTTTTTACTTTCTCTCCATTTACTATAAATACTGTATTAGCGTTGCATTGCAAAGCGTAAGAGCAACAACGATTTAAGAGTGGTAGATGTTCTCCAATCCCACCTCTTACTTAGGGCAATTTGCATCTTAGTTAGCTTTAAGCAGTGATCAAGTGAAGGCTATGAGGGGTTGTTCAGCTGGACTTGCTTCTGTTAATTAAGAGAATTCTGATACATTTATATTAAGGCACTCGGATAGTTGTGTTCTCTACAAAATTCTTACTTTTCCAGTTGGGTTGTGAGCCAAATATCTGTAACTGTTTGAGATCCCAGATCCCCTAGGTTCCAATTCCCAAATCTGTGTGCTATTTGGCAAAATATTTGGGCTTGGCTTGGCTATAGGGATCCCTACTTGTTGCTGTGTAATAGCCCAGCACCAGGTGCAAACCGGTGGGAGTGA